TTTTTTTCCAAATAAAATCGATATTCCAAAGTTACATGAGATCGTATAACTTTTTGTTTTTGTCTTCGTGTTCAGTGTGAAAAACTAAATCAGAAAATGTCATTTAGACGGTGTTCGGATACCACCTGGCCCACCGGTTCTTCGGAAGGAACCGAAAATGACCTTGTCCCGGTCGTAAACCTATCAACTCTTTTTAGTTATGAGATGGAGCCGCTTTTCATAGTGCATTCGAATCGTTACATGACCCTGAACAAAATGTCGTATCCGCTTCGTTTTCTTTCCTTTCTGTGCTAAGAAAATTCGTTTTTTCTAAATAAGAGGCGAAAAAGTCGGAAACCTGTCTGTAATTCTCAGTTTTCTCCATCAGAACGTTTGAGCAATAAAAATATCATATTCAGAATCAGGATAAAAGATTGAGTCGACTGATGTGTATTTCGAAAATTTTAGCCGATTCTCAGTTTTGGGTGAACATCTCGATAATTTTTTAACTCGAAATTTCGAAAAAAGCTAAAGTAATCGAATGGGTTTTTGAATAGGTGAAACACATATATTCTGAATTAGCTCGACGCGCCCTATCCAACCATGTATAATTCATCGAGAAAACAAGTTGTGCTCCTCCTTTGAATTACGGACACCTTACTTTTGGATGAGGATTAGTTAAAGACAGACGATATAACTAAAAATATGTAAATGGCAATTGGTTTGAATCGTTTGAAGCAGCTTTTTTTGCATTTTACTTTCAAACACTGTTCAGTATTTATCTTGTGTCATTTCTGATTTTAAAAAAATTAATAAACAACAAGACAAATCTAATGAGCCAATTATGTTTTGACTTACTAATTTTCATTGATACCTGAATAATAGGGTACAGTTAATAGATTTCTCTCTATTGTTGAAGTTACAAGTAGAAACGACAACACATGAACATAAACAAATACGCTATTCAAAATTTTTCTGACTTAAGCGCAACAAAAAAAAAGGAACAATAACACACACACGCATACATTATATATCGTAGAGAGAATTGAGAATAGAAAGCAAAATCGCAAACAAAATATCGTCGTTATAAACAAAAAAATCTGTATGCGGTGCAAAACACCATCAGAAAAAGAACTAAGTCCACCGCAGGAAAAAGTTAGTCTGACAAGAAATGAAGCGAGAACATATACATTGAGTTACATACAATATAAATATACACAGATTTTGTTTGAAGAAAAAAAGAAATATGAAAAGCAAAGCAAACGATGGACAGATGAAGAAAAAAAAATGAAAAAACACACATAAACACTGCTTAAAATTGGTCTACTATAAATATCATATGAAAAAAAAACGCTGAGAATGGAAAATATCGAAAAATTAAATTTGCTCAAACAAACTATATTTTCCTTTAAGTTTTTCTTTTCTAACGTACTTCAACGTATTTCTGACTGATTTTACTGATCATTATTATTATTGTTTGTTAAAAAATTAAATTGTAAAATGCTATCATCGTGGGAGCTACTGACTATTTGAAATTCATCAAATTGTAAGCGAAATACGCGTCCTGAATGTTCGGTTAATGTTCGAATACATAAAGATTGTGTTGATGATCTTGGATCGAGTGCTTGTTGTAAATCCCATATTTTTATTTTACCATCATATGCTCCACTAACAATACGTTTTGAATCAAATCGAATACAACGTACTAATTCGTCATGGCCTTCTAATATTCGTAAACATGCACCACAATCAATATCCCATATACGACTGAAAACGAGAAATAACATAAAATAAACAAAAAATAAAACTGTACAATCTCATGATGCCACTTACATGTGATTATCTGAACTACCACTAACAACAATTTTATCACGATATTGCAAACAGGCTATGCCACGCTTATGGCCCAATAACGTTCGAACAAATTCACACGATGTTGTATCCCACACTTTGATTGTACGGTCTCCACTTGCACTAACTAAATGAAAAAATTAGTATTGGTGATTGTAACGTAAAATGAAGATCATTTTTGCGTGATACATTCGACCATTTTAGAACAAGCGTTTTGACAATGTTAGAAAAACGATATTATCTGCATTTCTTACCAATATATTTATCATCAAAATCGACAACATTCACAGCTGCTCGATGTCCAACAAGAACTCGACGAATGGTAATATCTGTGGGTGATACCATTTCCCAAACAGCTATACTTCGATCCTTTGAACATGTTACCATCGTTCCATCCATAAATCGTAAATGTAAAACAGCTTCACAATGATGTAATAATGTATTTAACAGTTCACCCGTTTTCACATTCCATACACGTATTGTTGAATCACTTGAACCGGTTATAATCACTTTTTCATCATACTGTAAACACAATACACTACCTAGAATGAAACACAACACTTCACAAAATTTTGTACGAAGCTCTGAAATTAAATGATTTTGTTGCATCCTTTATTTTACGAACTAGCTCCAGTGTTTTTTTTCAATAAAACAAAGATAGGATTGATCATTGTGTTGTCTCGACAATAGTTTTCTCATTCTTCTGTGTATCACAATTCTGTTCTCAACAGTATTCTATAGTAACTTTCGAAATATTAAATTATATCACTTACCATTGTGACCGGTTAAAACTTTTGTACATTCTGATGTTTTTCGGTCCCATATTTTAATTGTATTATCTCTCAATCCACTAATAATTTTTTCATCATCATACTGTAAACAATAGACACCTTTACTATTTTGTGAACGACATTGAATTTTATGTAATGTAAATGTTCCAGTACGCCAATTTGATTCAAGTTTTTCAATATCTTTACATATTTGTGGATATAAATGACGATAAAATTCATGCTTTTTTTGTTGTCCACCATTTTGTAACATTTGACGAAATAAATAATGTGACCAACCACGACGCCCGGATAAACCCCGCCATAATGAATCATTTTGAACTTTTCGTTCAATTAATTTTTTCCACAACATACCTATAATAACAGAGAACAAGGGTCGAAGTACGATCTGGCAAATAACCGATAATAAGGCTAGAAAAATCTAGGGAAACTTATAGTTGAAGGCTAATTTATAAGCAATCATACCTTCTGAAACAACATGATACCATTCTCGACATACTAATTCTGTTGCTGATAACGCAGTATCATCTAAGTAAGTTAAAATTTTTTCGGCAATATGTTCAAGACCTCGAGCTGCTAATTGTCCAACAAAATCACGTTGTAACATTGGTAATAGATAAGAATTAACTTGTCCATGTTGATAATGTGACATATGTTTAAGTAATGTTTCAACAAATTTAATTTGTTCAAAATCTTGCCATTGTTCAAATGTTTGAATAAACTTATCATGATATAATTGGAAGTCTGGTGTTGATTTTTTAGCAGTCTGAATTGCGGGAATCACATTTAACGATGTTGTCGATGATGTTGAGATTAGCATTGGCTGATATTGAGTATCAAGCGTATTCGTTGGTGTTGTTGGTGGTGTGGTATCCATTGTATGTTTAAGGAATTTTGCTGAAATTTATTTTTCTCGTTTTAGCAATGAAAATGTTCGCAGATAAGTAGAAAATAAAGAGAGAGAAAACATCTTAAAACATACAATACAAGATGATAATCAAACAATTCTTTTATCAATGCAGATGATAAAAGATAACTAATTGAAAAGAGAGAATAAAAAAATGGACCTTCACTGTGTTTCCTTGCACACAATATTCTTCTGTCATCAAAAAGCAGTGACACATTTCTAGATAGGTAAAACATTATGGTACTCCTTCACTTTTAATACTGACTAAAAGACTGTTCGTCTTCATACGTTAGAGCCCTGCAGGTCAAACCTAACCTATAGGTTAGGTTAGGATTAGGTTGCACCATACTTCGCTTTGAGAAGAGAATCTGCTAAATCTAGCATTTGATTTTTACTTACTTATATTCCTTCTACAATAGAACATCTCATATTTACTTTTGAACAGATTGCCAGAAGATAAAATTAAAAAAATGATATTTTAGAATTTAGAATTCAGAATTCTAGTACTTTGCTCTAACAACTATACAGCGTTGTTTCATGTCTATTCGCGATTATTTCACTTCTTCTAATTTTTATCATCCAATCGAAAATGTACATCCAAAGAAGATCACTGAAAACATCATGATGATTTGAGTTAAAACGAATTGATTCGTTCATATTTATCAGTAAATTAATTCCATCCCGAAATAAATTTCAGTTCTCAGAGAGCTGTTAAGATGTTAAGAAATTCAAGGCAATGTCTTCAGAAAACATGTTCGGTTCTTCAGTGTACTTCAAGACCATATTCTCGGTGAACTGTGTATAGTTCTTAAGAAGAAGAAATTCGATCTATAAGCGAAACTGAGTCCACATTATCGAAAAATAACATTCTGTTATTTTCAAGATTATTTCATCTGATGGAAAAGGCTAGAAATGTTTTTCTAAACGAGGACAACAGGTTCTTCAAAAATAATATTGAAGAAGTAACGAACAACGAATGATAGCAATCGTTCACGTGTAATATTCTATAAATTTGTTTTTAGTCTGTGAGAACTTATATGATCAGCTGTACAGTTTGTATTTGCCTTACACGCCTATTAAGATAAACTCAGGTTTAAAAACTGCAAAGATCAATAAATAATCTGTTTTTCGCATAGTTTACCATTAAAATTCAACGAATTTTGCTCTCACTAGTATATTATCGAGTAGGCGTCAATAATTGCGGTTATGGATCTGGAATGAATAATAAAAAAAGTTCAGCAGATGAGATTGATGGAACGTGTTAGAGTGGTAAACTATGGACGTCAAATTGAGTAAATGGTTGCTAAGAGAGAAAAGTTAATTATTATTTAAAATGGGATAAAAACAAAACTTTCGATACTTTAGAAAGACAATGTGTACCATTTCCCGTTAAAGAAAAACTTTAACATGAATAAAAATTAAGTAATGTCAGATGTCACTATGAGGCGAGATTATTACATTGTCTATAAGGCAGTTAAGATATTCGTATTTTAGAACACATTTAAGTGATGGTTTCAACACTTCTTGAGTTTTCGTATGTTTTAGTTAACAAATATCTACACTGTATGTAGCAAAGTGTGTTTATTCAAAATAGGGTACGGTCAACGGAGGTTACGGACAACGGTAAACAATAATCTAGCAAAACTAATCATAAGTTTACAAATGAAACAAAATAAAACATCATATATGAAAATACTTATAATGTATATACTTATATTTCTTTAAGTAAATAAAGTTTAAATCACGTCATATATAAAGCCATTATTGCACGACGCCTAATGATGATGTCAATTCATTCATTTTTTGTTTCTTTAAACCGCGTTTGATTTCATATGTGGTTGTTCGAGGCACCATTGTTATGCAATCAATAATTGGACAAACCGAAACGCAAAGTGTACAACCTGAAATTGAATAAAAAAGTGTATATTAAGCACCATAAATAGTCGGTCTCCTGTACCTGTACAATCTTCTGTAATGTGAGGAATGTGCGTGACGGGATCGAATGTAATCGCTTGATAGCCAGAGTCATTACAGGCCATGTAACATTTACCACAATTAACACATAAATCCTATAGATAGACAAAAGAGGCGACGAGTTTGATTCTGTTAATTTTAAACACAGACAAGACTATTCAGCATGCACTCACATCATCAATAATTGCAACGGCCGGTTCTCGTGGATCTAAGTGTTTGAAATCAGTTATTTTATCTAGTGCAAGTCCTCGGACATCAACGAGTCTCGGTACACTTGTTTTTGGTTCCTTTGCTGGTCGAACCTCCTGTGGTTCAAAGTCAGGGGATAATATGTCAACATTTTTAAAATAATCCTGAGTTATTTTGTCACGTTGTTTTCGATATTCACCAAATGGAGGTAAATGCTTTTAAAATAGAGGAGAAACAGTATTTTTAGATGAAGACATTCAATATAAGTTCTTCACTTACACTTCCAATAAGATCTTTCACTTGAATTGCCTTGCCTTTTTGATGTTTTGGAGTCGGTGGAGACTGACCATCCCATCCTTCCAGACCAAGACTTTTTAAATATAATAAAGCTTGAAGACCGGTTACATAATCGTCAATTAATGTGAAATCTTGATTCTGAATTGCACTACACACCTACACGAAACCAAACCCATCTTGTTTGATTCTCTATGAAGATCCACTTAATTACCTGAAGAACTGATGCACCAGCGTATAAAAACTGCATAGCAGCATCAGCCGAATCTAAAAGAATCGAACAAAATAACATGCAACATGTATTAAAAGGAATATCGTTTCTTACCGATTCCTCCTGTCGCTAGAATTGGATATCCGGGTAATGCTTTAGCAATAGCACTCACAGCTCTTAATGCAATTGGACGGATTGCATTTCCCGACACACCACCATATGTTGTCTTCTTTCCTTTACCTACACTTGGCCACGCTGTTGAATCGTGTCTGATTCCCATTATACCACTAACAGTATTAGTCGCTGTTACTCCATCAGCTCCACCTATTTAAAAGAACCTAATATATTTTATTATATTACACATTTTAAGATATATTTACCTTCTTTTGCTGCTCGGGCAATGTCAACAATATTAGTTATATTTGGCGTCATCTTTGCAAAAAAAGGAATTTTTATTGCAGCTCGGACCCATTTGCAAATACCCAAAACTAGATCTGCTTTTTGGCCACATGCTAATCCCATTCCCTTCTCTCCCATTCCATGTGCTAAAAATATCCTATATTGTACGACATCGATGAAGTTGGTGTCATCGATCACTTACGACAAGACAAATTGAGCTAAAAAGAGATATAACAAGCAATCTACGCATATTTTAACGTTTTTGAGGCGATGAATACCTCTCTAACTTACCTCGAGAGCATCAGCACCAGCTTCTTCGCTTAATTTGGCTAATTCGGTCCAATCTGCTTCATTGTAACTGCACATTATTGAGGCAATAATAATCTATGGTATATAGAAGATTTATCTCTTGAATTATTTCTCATATATTGGAAAAAAAGTGCGCAACTAACTCGATCAGGAAAATCTTGTTTCAATTCTTTAATTGAACGTAGCCAATATTCGGTGGATTTTTCTGATATAAGTTCTATGTTTAAGAAACTTCCTTGTCCTGGTCCAAATAAATGGCCCGATGTTGTTCCACGCGCCATTCGAGGACTAATATTTGTTATAACATCCTTAAAAACGAATAAAAAATTTATAATGTATTGTAACAAACTTTTCCATTAACAAACCTTGTCTAAACAGTAGGTTTTGGTAACAACAAATCCCCAGCCAGTTTCAAACGAACGTCGGATCATCGGTGAAGATGTAGCAGGCGGAGCTGAGGCTGAAAAATAAATGTATTGCTAATCAAATGACAATTGTTAAAATAACTGGTTTGCCTCACCTAAGCCAAATGGATTTGGAAATTTCATTCCGCATACTTCAATGCTAACATCAACTTTGTCAATTGCCGTAAAGAATTTTGGTAATTGAGGAGTTAGTGGAATGGAATCAGTTCCCTAAAAAGTGAAATCTCTTAGATATATATCAACATTGTGTAAAGTTCACATCTTTTAAATTAAAATTTACTTGTATGTATCGATGTATGTGCCATGCAGCTGTTTTTCCATCGTTCACACTCTCGACCGTTGTAGTTGCTACTTTTGCCAAATCTCCACCACAAAATACATTCGGTAAACTTGATGCCATTGTTATTTTGTCAACGATTGGATAACCATATTTGTCAAATTTAAGTGGTTCCATGGCTTTTATAACTAAAAGACATAGTCATTTATAGAATGAATTTTACTAAAATAATTACTTAAACTTACCTGGTTCTTCGTTGAGAGTCGACCCAAATGCTGATATAATGTAACTACATTTTAATTTAACTATTTGATCTTCATCTTCGATCCAGTCACCTGCAAAATGAAAATAGCTATTTAAAAAATTCAATTTGAGTGAAGAAATATAAGTACCATTATCATCTTGTTCCGTTCTGACTAATTCTAATGAAATTATTTTGTTATCTCTTGTGGTCACCTTTTTAGGCGAACAAAAAGGTAAAAATTCACAACGTTCTTCAATGGCTACATCAACCTTTATTAAAATACGAGAAGAAACAGAAAAGTTTCATTTATTTGTACAATATTGTTATAGTATCTTACTTCTTCAGGCACAGCTCTCATTTGATTGAAACCTTTTCGAAATACAACAAACACTTTTTTTGCACCACATCGGATTGCACTCGTTGCACAATCCATTGCTGTATCACCAGCACCAAGCACAATAACATTTCCACTTAAAGTCGGTAACGTCGATTTACACGCACACATACCTAAAAAATATCTATTCATAAGGTATGATCGAGATATGTGATAACTAATATCTTACCAGCTTTACTCGCTTTAGAAACAATTGGAAGGAAATTTTTTGATGTATAAAATCCATGATTGACTGTTAAATCTTTGAAGATTGGATCGATATTCGGATTTGGCAAACCTAAAAAATTTACTCACGTTCATGATTATTTTCCGCTAGATTTATTTCTACGTACCAATTCCAAGAAAAATTGCTTTATATCCTTCGTCCATTAATGATTTTAATGTAATTCCATTTTCTTCGGTGGTAAGTGGTTTATTTGGAATGATGTTGACCTCTTTAATAGACCTTCATTTTACAATGCCAAATGAATACTGTAAAATTCATACTCACCGAGATCTTTCATTAATTCAATTTCAAAATTAACAGCATCATATGGTAAACGATATTGTGGAATTTCTGCTGAACTGGAATTACAAGAATGAATTTTAAGGTTTTACACACGAGTCAAGAATACGAATACCTTAATCCTCCAAGAAAATCACATTTTTCAAATATTGTCAGATCTGTATAACCTAATCGTGCGAGAAATGTTGCACAACTAATAGAGGCAGCACCACAACCAACGAGTGCTATTTTCGATCTGTATACATCAGGTAGTGTTTGTAAATTCATTCGTGGATCCCGAACAGCTGGAATACGCATTGCTTTAAATATCTAAAAAAAGAAGCATGAAATTTTAATCAATTTACATTTTTGGCTTATCTTACTTCAACAGCAAATTGTTGTAAACCACCAATATTGATTGGTCCCTCTTCACTTGCATACAGATTACATCCACCCACGCACAAATCACTCGTGGGGCAGACCATTCCTAGAAACCAAATAGTGGAACAACACGAACGGATCTCAAGTAAAATGTTATAGTTCTTCAGTAATGCGGTTGTAGTTTCAGCACTAGATGCTAGATTGACTCTAGCAACAAATCGATCCTGAAGATAACATCGATACACACACACGGGGCGGTCTCTATGTTCCTAACAGGGCTGAATGTTAGGAGAAAATTGCCGTCGTCACGGATTCAGTGTTAAAGTGTTAACACTTTAGCACTTACACTTTAACATACATGAATGCGCGGCGAGTGAGGGTGAAATGGGTAAAGAAGTTCTCCAGCGTCCTCCTCGCTTCTTCACCCACAATTGTGCGCATTTTCACTTTAATATATACGAATCCGCGACGACGGCGATTTCCGGATGATGCCGATAGCTTACAGCCTGCATTTCCAAATCACACACTAAAAACTAATGTGTCGCATGTGTCGCAAATTGCGACATATTCTGCGACACCGGTAGGCACTTGCGACACATTTTTTCCATTGAGGCTGCGACACATTCCGCTGGGTATTTCTACCATAGAGAAAACAGTAGAAATTAAGTATTTTCGATCTCTTATTCGATTTTAAGAATATTTTTAGTTCATTTTGGGGTGCTGTACACAATGTCAACAAGCTCAATTCGCCGGTAATATTCACAGGCCTTCAAAATATTTAGTTTCCGAGATCTGGGATTAATGGCGTAGTCAAGGCCTCTGATTGGTTATTTTTCATTAGAGAAAAAATGTTTAACGTAGAAGATAGTTAAAAAAAACCAAGAGAGGGATCCTTATCCTCCAAAAACACCAATTCGAAATTGAAAACACGTAAAAAGTTCGAAAATTTTCTTATCTTTTACGTATTAGCGCTGAAACTTTCAGATACAGTTCTTGAGGTACGCAAAAGAATGTGTCGCATAATTGTGTAGCTGTTACTAAGGCTTAGTAACGGCAACACAATTATGCGACACAATTTTCTCACAGGAGCTGCGACACATTTTACTGCGACACAAAATGCGACACAATAATTTTTACTGTGCATCAAGTATATCTACAAAACGGCTACATACCACATGTTAAACCAAGCGGATTATCTGATAATATTGCTTTTGCCGCACCATAATAATTCTAAAGCAAATAGTTACAAAACACATATTATTGTATATCGACAGTAAGAAAGTACTACCTTATTTGAAATACTTGTTATAAATTGTTTGATATCGATTTGCGTAGGACAACTTTTCTGCAATGTATTTGATAACATTAAGTTCTAAACGCATGTAGTTTGGATTTCAACTTACCTGACATGGAGCATCAGCGCATTTCAAACATCTAGAGAGAAAACAAGTGTGTTTTATTAACTTTTGACAGGGAGGAAGTAGAGAGCTTCGGTTTCCATCATTGAAAGAGGAAACTTGTGCGCATGTTTCCATGTTTATGGGTTCATAGCTCAGAGTGTCCACTTCAAAATGAGAGTCAAGCGAGATCTTAACTTTTTTAGTAGTTCAGATATAGTATCGGATTCTCTTGGAGTTCCAAAACTAGTATCCGATGACTATTGGAAACACCAGGAAGGGATGGTTTATATTGTGCCTCGTAGCAATATTTGTTCTTGAAAAAACAGTTCTAACACCCAGAGTGAACCGAGTTTCACGAAACGTAGGGTTTTCCATGTATTTTCACCTAACATTAAGAAATTCAAAAGTTACTCAGAAAACATCAGAACCAGTTCAGAATTTCAGGATAAGCTTAATTTTGTTCACTAGACGTGCTTATAAAAACAGAAAAGGAAGAAAATCCATGTTTTTGTGCAGAGATTTTCTGGAACTATTTTGGAAAACCCTAGAGACTTCTACATTCTTTTGTGGGGATTTCTTATAAATGGGATATAAAATAGCCCAAATACTGTACATCCTGAAGTTCTGATGTTTTCTGAGTAACTTTTGAATTTCTTAATGTTAGGTGAAAATACATGGAAAACCCTACGTTTCGTGAAACTCGGTTCACTCTGGGTGTTAGAACTGTTTTTTCAAGAACAAATATTGCTACGAGGCACAATATAAACCATCCCTTCCTGGTGTTTCCAATAGTCATCGGATACTAGTTTTGGAACTCCAAGAGAATCCGATACTATATCTGAACTACTAAAAAAGTTAAGATCTCGCTTGACTCTCATTTTGAAGTGGACACTCTGAGCTATGAACCCATAAACATGGAAACATGCGCACAAGTTTCCTCTTTCAATGATGGAAACCGAAGCTCTCTACTTCCTCTCTGTCAAAAATTAATCAAAAGACAGTCAAGTACAGTCTTTTTTTAAACGAATATTAGTCTGTCAAGAAACGAAACAAACCTTGCTGACTCTTTTAATGCTGCTCGCTCACTGAGTGTTGTATGTTTAACATCAAGAAAATTACGATCAAGATCTTTACAACCCTATAAACAGAAGAAATTGAATATAATTTCCTGCATGGAGGAAGTATGCAAATGTACATTTAAACACATGTGTTCGTCATTTCTTTTCCAATGTTTCTTGTCTTTTAGTGTTTGAAATGATGGTTTTGAATTGGCAAAGGGACGAATTTTCGGATTCAGAGCAAGTAAATTCTAAATAAAATAAATATAGCAGTTATGTTCTCTGTGCAAACGACTTCTATATTGCATATACGCAAGTCTAAGTGATAGATTAGAGATGTGCAACTCGATCCGTATCCGATCCGAAGGTTGGGTACGGGTACGAAGTTGTCGGGTGCGGGCTGAAAAAAAAATTTTCGGATCGGGTACGGATACGAAAATGGTACCCGTGCATATCTCTATGATAGATCAATGCGAATAAATCTTCTAGAACTAATATCCCATCTCCACCTTCTCCTCAGGTCAGAAAAACAAAACATTAATAAATCATCAATGTAGAAATAAGCATGTTATTAGATAGCCATAGCGTCTCTTGTCAGAATTCGTTTTGCCTTCAACAATATCAGAGGTATTTGATAAGACTTCACAAACAGTTTTCCAAAAGCTTAATACTTACAACTTAATTAATAGTCAAAATAAGCCAAGATAAAAATGGTGTTGATAGCTTCTTCTATATACGAACGTTGATGGTGCCGTCCTAGTGAATGTACTTGAACTTAGGTACTCGAGTTAGGTACTCTGCTACAAGAATGTTATAGGTTCTTGCAAGTAAAATATTACTTAGCGGGTATCTAAACGGCCAGCCATTTTAGGTGAGCGTGTGAAGATAAAAACGCACGTCATTCTTGTGAACATATGCTTTTCTTTTATGTGTCTGAACGTGAAACAAAACGATGGACAAAATTATATCGAGAAATGACCAAGGATAAATTAGTAGAAATTGTTTTTACAGCGGTCTCAATAGAGAAGACAATAAATTTATTGAAACCGCTGTAAAAACAATTTCTACTAAAACGGTGGACGGAAAAAAATTTGACATCTGTGCTGCGTACAGCGCAAGTAATATTTACTTGAAAAAAATTAAAGTACCTATGACATTCATGTAGCAGAATACCCGCATAAGAAAAATGCAAGTACTCGGTAACCTATCGGAAAGTATACTCACCAGAGCGACCTCATTTTCATATCAGCTTATGCTGACAGTTTGATTTAGAATGGACTAATAGTTACCGCGATACATCTGATCTGGGAGCTCTTAACGACCCAAACACACACTAGTTTTGACAAAACAAGGAACTGACGAAGAGCAGCGAGTTTACGGAAAATCTGACATAAGAAGGTTTAGATAAAGATTTAGATAAGAAGATTTAGATGTTTTACTATCTTCAAAAGATATTTTAAAAATTTTACCTCGATATCCGGCGTATCTTTTGATACTATTTTTCCATCAGAACTTGACATGCTGTTGTTTTGATATTAGACTTTTGTACCAAAATATTAATTATTTAGGATAAATTTTGATATTTTGCTCTTGATCTAGGTCAAATGCTTAATATTACGTATAATAACAGTTTTATTTTTCAGATAAATAAAAAATGAAACCCAAACGGTTGAATATATGTTATATATGCGTAAAATATTCCTTGAAGAAAGAAACAAAAAAAGATAAATTTATTTAACAACGTGAAAAGTAAATTTAAGCGCTTGTCGATTTTCTTGCTCTATTTCTTGCAAGATTCTGGTCTTTCAACGTTTCAGATAGAATTTTGTTAAATCCTTTGTAAACATGTGTTTTTATCTTAAGATCCCGGGCTGAAATCATAAGACAGAAATTTTAGTATAATATTTATACATAATAATAAGATGTCATACAGAGCATAGAAATTGAAAAAAAAAAATTCAAGGATTTTTATATGACATAGCAAGTGACAAGAATCTTACAAAAACATTGACAAGAAAATAAATCGACGTAAGGTTATGAAGATATGAGTGTAAGAACAGCAAAAAGTTTGGCCAGTGTGAATATTAGCTAAAAACATGCTGACAAAAGAATGGGCACATCTTTAGCACCTATCAACGAGTAATAGTAAAAAATTTTCATCGTGATCAACATAGCCATGAGAATAATCATAAGATTTTGAGTAATGATTAAAAGAATATTCTAAAGTAGTTAACATTGAAGACGTGCGAAAGTTTAACTGGTGACTTGGGAATATAATGTATTTAACGAACCATCATAAGCGAAGTCACGTGCCTTCTAGAATTAGGAAAACGTTATGGATATTCCATTCTCTATGGCAATGAGAAAAGCTGTGACCAATATATTCAATCACATTGAAACCTAATCTTTCTACCTAGGGGAAAGACGTCTTACAAGATCTTATAAGATCTGACGATTTCTTATGCAATCTTGCTGCAAGATCTTTTGGCAAGAACTTGTAAGATCTTATCCCAAGGTCATGTATGATCATGTAAAGATCATGTATGATAACTTCTTGTTGTAAGATCTTACAAGATCAGCTTATAAGAAATCTTAAGATCTTATAAGATCTTGTAACAAGAAGTTATATGATCTTGCAAGATCTTGTCAGTTCTTATCACAAGATCATACGATTTCTTGTTACAAGATCTTATAAGATCTTACAAGAAGCGATGACTCATTCTTACCACATAAATTTTGCAACGATATATAGTATATATAAAACATAGTTCTTATGATGAAACTTAGAATTTTTTCTTTCTCTAACTGCACACATCAGCTGAGCACAAATAAAGTGCATGGCTATAAGAAACGTGGTTAGACGCGCTACTAAAGACGTCAGAGTCCTTCCTATGCTCGAAAATATTATGAAAAGAAAAAAGCTGTTTTTTAAAGAGGGTCTGTAGGGAAGCTATAGTACAGAATCAGAGCCATGATCTTATGAAATCTTTCAAGATCTTGTCACACCTTGCACGATCTTATCACCAGATCTTGCAAGGTTATACAAGATCTTGCTGTAAGAAAAATCTTGTGAAATCTTATAAGATACTTGAACCAAGATTCTTGTGGAATCTTGTAAGATAATCTTGTGGTATCTTATAATATGATCTTACAAGATCTTATATGAACGTACGAGATCATATTTCAAGATTCTTCGTCCTGGGTAGTTCTTTATTCTTTAAACTATGAGAAGTTAATCCTCTCGGTGTGTTAATATCGATCGTAAATTCTGATTTATTCTTTTCTTTTCCGTCATAATATAGACAAAGTCTAACGTTTAAGAATGACTTTTTCTGAGCCATTTTTTCATTTATAGCTGAGAAACGAGATTAACAACTGCAAAGTAATCATGCTAGACAGAATTCACAAAGGCGACTAGATAAGCGTTAAAATATTAAAATTTATCCTAGTAATGATTTATCTCAACTGCTCAGCGACGGTGCCGCGAGTAATATCGAATTTATGTTACATGAACACCTTGGATATGTGAATACTCTTTTGTTAAATATGATCAATCAGATTTTTATTCCAAATGAGAATGATGGATCTGCAACGCTGTAAAACATACAGAAAATTAAACATTTGATGAGTGTATTCAAGAGCTGAGTGTGAATGAAATTCTATTACATTTCAAGCGTAAAATGGCATCTTTGAAAATGTATTTCTTAATGAAGATACTAGATCGACTTCAATTGATTTTCGTCTCACCTCAGTGTTTTACAGATTCTTGATCAATGTAGGATGCTTCTGAATCTGGTACAGAACAGAGAAACTTGAGTGGTGGTGTCCCATTACTGGAGACCATAGAAAAAATACTAGTCGATGTAGCACAGAAATTGTAGCATTTTGTTACATCTTCAGTTAATGACAAGAACTCTGCGTTAGATTAGCCTTATGGCCAGAGCTGTGATTGATGACTAGTAATGAGATGGGTGACCATTGTAGAAGCTTGTCAACTGCAGGGAAGATATCGGGCTATTGAAACTGCCATTCGGCAGCACCCTACACCGGTATCGGTAGCCGTAAGACGGGATATTCTTCTTCATGATAGAGTACGGTAAGCACAGACCATCATAGGTGAGGCAAAGCGAGGAAATCCATTTGAACTTTCCTGACCTCATCTAACCTAAGATTGTTGGGTGAGACGTAGTATACATGTACATCATTACCTAAATCCCGCTTTATACTTCTTCGATTTTTTTTGTTGTGTTTGTTGTTTCGAAGAAATAGGAACGTGCCATTCAATGCATATTTTGAGGCTAACTTTTTGCTATACGTTTTCAGTTTAGGAGTTGAAACCAGACTTTTTATCGCAATGGATAGCCCACATATCAAACTATAGTTGATATGTGCTATGCATAATTTTTTGATCAAAAATGCCTCTGTTGTCGCTTTTGTTATAAATATATAATATATAATTAAATATATAAACAAACTCACAAACTATAATTTACAAATCTTTACCAGTAATTTCACATTAATTTGATTCAACTGCGATTAGCAGATTATAAGCGAACGTTGATTCGATGACTCATCGCATACCATAATCGGCAAATAAAAATAGTAGCTTCAAGCAGTGACTGTCAAGGTCAGTTTGCATTGACCTAGGCCAATTGAAACTACTATTTGGAGCGAAAAGGAAACAACGGAAGAAACCTTGAAATGCTACGAAGGAAACGCAATATTATGGCGTGAGATAATTTTTGACGAAAGAAAAAAAGCAGATTTTTTGGTCGTAGTAGAAGTTACCTGCTAATATAGGTAAGAACTAGGCATCCATAAATTTTATCCCTAATCTCTACTATCAACGTGAAATTTGGAAATTTTGCGGTGATAGTACAGATTTATGAGAAAAATTTATGGACGCCTAGTTTTGACCCTGTTAATAATATACCTGCCAAAAATGGTCGCCGATGATAATATTTTTTTCTTTACTTTCTCTCTCTTCGCACAGTGGCAATTTTGACTAAGCACGTGGACATGAGTTTTGAAAGCAGTCCAAACGTATCTAAACCATTTTTCTATAGGTTTTCTACGACGCTCTTTTCAACCAGATAGCTTTCGAGTTTTAAAAAAATTTCCCAAGGGGTTTTTCAGAGACCGGATCTCCCGAAACCACTTCAAAAACTTTATCAGAATTCAAAAACCATTCCATTGGAAAGAGCATTGCTGAAAACCTATAGAAAAATATTTCAGAAGCGTTCATGATTTTTAATCTTGACTTTTAAATTTTCGGGCAAAAAATTCTACGTGCCGATCCCAAAATCTAAGAATTCGATAAGATTCAAAAGTATATGTCCAAAACCCAATGAATTATACGCCATTCGGCGTAGTTTTTTAAGCTGATTTTGAATATGCAATTGGTTCTTGGTTCTGATGTTTCTGAACTGCGAGGACTTGATTTTACCTCGAAAACCAAGGAATTTTGGAAAACCTCTCCCTCTGCAGGAAAGCGTTTGGCCTAAGTGCACAGACGTATCATATAAAGAAGAATATTTCCTGAAAGTTCCAGCTTCGGTGGACATCAGGGAAATTTAGGGTGCCAACTCTACTAAAATTACTTTTGCGAAAAACGCTTAGTCTCCGGAAAACTCTTTTTTCCCCCACCAAAAATTAACTAAAATTAAAAACTCTTTTTATTAATCGATAGCCTAGAAACTCAGCTTTCAAACTATGTGTGTTTCATTTTTTCCGAAGTTCGTTCTGTTGACAGAACGAGCAATGTTTTTTTAAGGCCACACAAACCGAGCTAAAAATTGTAGCTTACTTTTCTCAATGACCTTAGGCACTAGAGCCAAAATTTTTTCACCATTAAATAGGCCACTGATCCTTGTATATGTAGCACTCATTGAATCTCTAAAAATCTCACTTTCGTTTTTTCCCCAAATGTCCACGTTGTTGCGCACTGTGCTTCGTTGCATAAAAATTCAACCAATGTCTATATACTCGATTAGATGTATGCATTCTGTTTTCTATCAGGCATATACAGCGAATTTCTCTTTTGCTTCTTAGCGTTAGCGCCCTTCTTATGATCACATAATATATGAGTAGATCTGTCAACAATTCTAAAAACCAAATATTCCGTCGTTCTATCAATTTTTTTATTTCTTTTCTGGCATTGAACCGAGAGAGACATGTGTTGTATATGGAAGAAACAGTTCTATTCACTTCCGCACACTCTTCTTCTGCGTTGAAAGAAGTTACCTGCCAAAAATACAAGGAAGAAACAGCTGATTTTGGGGTTTTTCACCGATTTTCACCAAATAAAAAGTCACCGGAAACCACAGAGAACCACTTGATTCTAGACTAATTTCAATCAGCTGTTTCCCCCTTGCAAAAATAGCCGCCGATTTTCAAAGGAGAGCAAAAAAAGTGATTTGCATTGAATAAATTGATCAATCAGTTTCTTCGACGGGATGCCACCTATATATGTCTAGCCTAATCCTTTTTCAATTTTTTTCTTATTTTCTCACAAAATCTATTTTGATTAAGAGACTTGGTTGACACTTGAGTTTCAGGTGATTTATTACTAGGAATAAGCACCTAAAGTTGAGAAATTTTCATTCTTTAGTCGGCTATATTTGACCTCTACACATTTTTTCTTCTGGCTTTCAACAACTGCTGAAGTTACCTGCTATTGGGAGCTGTTATTGGTAGGTAACTTCTTACAACGCTTCTTCTGTTGGTCAGAGCAGCTATATTTAAGTAGTTTGCACATTTTCGCTCTTGCTAGCTAGTTTTTAACCAATGCTGAAGTTACGTGCTATTGGCACTCTTGTTGCATGCAAGTAATATCTAACTACGTTTTTTGGTGGTTTTAGAAAAATGCTCATAATTTTTGACTGGAATATCGCACAGAGCTCAACAACGTCTCGTTTTGAAGAAAACACTTTTCTCTATTTAAATAAGTGTGTGAAAAAGTTTTGGCTGGTCAACATGCCTGTAGACGGTTTTTGCAAAGTAAGCAATGGAGGAATTTTTAACCAGAAGAAAAGGTCACAGAGAGCTGAGCGACGTCTGATTCAATAGAAGGTACTTAACTGTATATTGCGGCATATCTAACTCGATAATCGAAAGTCTTAATAGGAAAGAGGGCGAGGAGTACTTCTAAAATAAATTCAGTTTTCAATTTTAATCCCAGTTAATGAATGCTAAAGATAATTTTGTTCTACTAGTATATTAACTTCAATCAATGAGTCTTTATAGAAAAATAACACTATACTACTATCATATGATTAACCCTGTAAAGGGTTAATCATATGATAGTTAGTAGCTTCAAAACGCAATTGCGTTCTGAAGCGTACAACAATGATCGGTACACGGTTAGATTCCAATTTTTAATGTCGTTTTTGATGAGCCAGAAACACAACACTTTAGACGACAGAAAATAATTTTTCTAAAACTTGAGCAGTCTTCTTAGTTCTTTTTATATATAGTAGTGTTTAAAAATATCTGCTCTTTGAAATGACGTTTGAACTGACTGTCTAGTATCAATACTAAAAAATGATACATCAAAAACAAAACTCACGGTTTATTCTTCCCATCTCAGTACAAACTGGTCAAAAACATAAATTTTCAGACGTTTATGGCGTTATAACACCTTAAAATATTATGATTATGTTAACTTTTTTACATTATAACGCGTTAGACTGCTCTCCTAACTGTATGTATAAACGTCTGATTATACATATCGTTAGACATTTTTCTAACGCGATAATTTTTTATTCAAAGCTCCGATTTATGGCGTTAAAATGCATTAATATATAGGAATGGCATTTTCTCTTTAATATCTCTTTTTTTATTAACAAAAGAAAAGTTTTTCTTTTTCTTTACAACAAAAAAGTGTAAAGATATAATGCATATCTTTTCTTTTTTGAGAAGAAAAGTTATATATTTTGCTTTCCAAAAAAAGAAAAGTGTTATCTTTTCTTTCCAAAAAAGCAGAAAGGTGCTGTTTCTTTCAGGAAAGAAAAAGAAAACTGATAAAATGTTTTTATTTAAGCTTTTAAGTATCAGTAGATGTTGACAAGGGCTTTAAGACAGCAGAAGATGATAAGAGAACAACATATATTATTTTGACAGTCATAAGATGTGGAGATATCACATTTTTAGACAAAACTAAGAAATGGACAAGAGCTAAGTTAAAAGGATTCTTTGTCCAGCAACTTGTTTAATGTGTTTTATGAAAATAAGTTAGAAAAATATGTTAACTAACGATAGAAAACAGAAATTTCCAGTGAGCTTCCACTATGTATTGTTAAAGCTTCAAAACGTAAAAGAAGTCTACTGTCGGACCTAAATTAGATCAGTTTTGCGACGCTCAGCAACTTCAAGCAACTAAAATATTGAAAGAAAGCGAAAAATAGAAACATTTTGTCTCCTGTTTGTTCTTTCTATCGTTGAGAAAGGTAAATCATTTTCTTTCTCAAAAGCAAGAAAAGATATCACTTTCTTTTTCTTGGAAAAGAAAACTTTCCTTTTTCTTACAAAAGAAAAGATATGCATTATACTTTTAAAAATAAAAGATACCATTTTACCGTTACTCTGGAAAAGAACGATAAAGTACTACCTCTTATTAAGATATGATGTAGATATGTTATAGCGCTAGAGGATTTAATGCATTATAATTGTGTTTAATGACTTACAACACAATAAACAACAAAAAAATATTCAATGAGTGAAGTGTAAAGTGTATCCATTCCGAAATAGCATAATTCAGAATGCCCGTTTTTGAAATTCAATCGTAAATGAAAATTTGTGAGCACCACCATTATGTCATTCAATGCGATTTTATTTGCTCGAGAAAACGTAAAATCGACCGAAAAGACATGATCTTACCATATCATTCTTTTATTTCATTGAGTTTAATATGCACGTGAGAAAAAAAACGATTATCACTGAGAATAAGTCTGATAAATAATATATCTCTTTTTGCACATGTCAGTTTATTTAATGTCATATATAGTAAATATCTCGCAGAAAAGAAATGCGACATGAGTCATGTCTCATTTCAAAAAGTGTTATTCATCGCTTAAGTAGAAAACATCCGCTGTTATAGCATACATTTTACAGAAAGTTTAAAGGGACTATAGGTATATCGAAGAAATTACTAATTGAATAAAATATTCTGTTGAATTGGTTTAACGTTGAATTCCAACTTAACACGCTGTTATTACTTTAGGTTCTATTTTTCGTGACACACAACTATATGTGTATACATATATAAATTAAAATAAATAAAGCAACATAAAATCTTCAAAACGGAAAGAAAATAAACAAAGAGAATTGTCGTTCATTCAAAAAACTAGATACATTTAAATATTTTTTCAAAATACACAATTTGAATTTATTATAAGTAAAGACACAGAAGCATTTTCAAAAGACACGACACTTACACAAAAAAAGAATATTGAACAATAGTACACAAAATATTACACAAAACAAACAATTAGACAACAAATTAGTTGTGAATGAACGAACGAAAAGTTGTACTACTAATGTAAAAAAACAACAACAATAACAACAAAAATTGAATTATTTTAGTCTTTTTTGTTTTTGGCACACATGGGTATACAAATAGAAGAATAACAATATACACACAACAATGAAAAAACTATGCTTTGAACAAAATTTTTGAATTGGCGCCACGTTTTGTCTCTTGGTCCTCATGGCTCTGAAAGAATTAAATAGAGAATAAAAACTACAATTTCGTTAGAGATTTGTACCTACTTCGAAAAAAACTTGATATTGTTTAGGGATATCGGCAACTTCTCGAAAACGACGTCTAAAATGATTATTAGTAACTGATAATAAGAAAATCGCTGTTTCAGTTCTTTCTTACCCAATATTTTTTGTAACACTGGTATCCCTCCAATCACGCGTCCATAAACTAATACGATCACCTTTACTACGTATTGATACAACAGCACCGTTGACATGATCAGCTGTATCAGCATATTGATCACCAATTAAAGATAACATCTAAAAGAAATTGAATAAAATATTTGTTTTAATTATAAATTCATATTTCAAGCATTCAATATGTCAAAAACATACGGTAAATAACCAAAATGTATCCAATTCTGGTCCTCTTTGATTTTTATTTAAATTTAACACCCATCGGCCACCATTTCTATTGTTTATATCTTCCCACATAGGTTGAATGTTTGTTTTAAAAAACATATAATCACAGCCTTGTCCTACAGAAATAAAAATATGAATAAATAAACTATCACAATCTTTACTAATCCTAGATTGTTACCTAGCCGACTTGCTACTTGCATATGATTATAAACAGACCAAAAACTTTCCACTGTTGACACTGTTGTAACTTTAATTAAATTATCTTTCCATTCGGCATTTCTATCATTTTTAAAAAACCAAAATGACCACGTATCTTCTAATGGAAAACGTAAATCTTCGGATATCAATAACGATTTCATTTCATCCACGATACTCGTCGTCTGAGGTTGTTGTTCGACACTAGCTGTCTCTGCTGAAGTAACTGTTGTTGACGTAGATGCCTGAGAAGTAGTAGCTGGTGGAGTTGATTGAGACTGATGTTGTTTTGGAGATGATGTTTGCTGTGGACTTAAGGGACTTGTTGGTGTTGTATATTGAGAAAGATCATCATTATTTCTTGTTGTTTCAATTCTTAATTGTTCATCATTTGATGAATCTGGCGCCGATGGTAGATCGAATGTGGTTGTTGAATTAGCGGCAGGTGTAGCGAAAGTGGAGTGATCAAATGTGGGTGAAGGAGGTTCCTTAGGTTGACTGTCAGTAGACGAAGACATTAAATTATCTAAAAATAGATAAAAAGACAATAACATAGAGTCAGGCTTAGCATTTTGAGAATATGTCATGATTCAATCAGTAGCAAAATCATGTGTTAGCTGAAAAATGTTTTTAATTAGTTTTTACCGTTGAGATAATTATCTTGTAAAAGATAGTCACAACTCTTACAAAATCTTATTAAACAGGTTAAATGTACTAAAGAATACTGTTTTGAAAATATTTCTCATTAATTTTAATTCGCTAAAAATTTTGTTTTAGAAAAAAACAAAAAGACATACGTTATAGAGAAAAATCGTTTATAGATATATATATATATGTATATAAAATAGAATAAAAACACGCACAACTAAACGTCAAACAAATACATATTGATTTTTGAGCATTTAATAATTAAAATATAATATAATAACAAAATAAAAATAGAAAAAGAATAATACCTATTTGTAAATTGCACAATAGCCATATGAAAGATATAATTGTAAAATTATGATTGCATATAAAAGTAGAATAGAAAACGATCAGAATATTGAAGTCTCAATAATATGAGAACAACAAGTCATTTTGTTTAAAATAAATATGAATATTCTAGCAGAATATAAATATTAAACCAAAAAACGAATCAAAAAAGCTATTTATAAAAAATATTGTACCACAAAAAATCTTGACCCATCGTATGTACATAAATAGTTGTCTAAATAGTTGTCAAAAACATAAATAAATAAAAACATGTAAAAAAGAATTAAACTTGATAACCATAGAAAACAAAAGAACTCAAATTATCACAAATTACTGTGTTATAAAATAAGAAAAAAAAAGTAAAATTTATTTAACAATTGCTTTCAGTTGTAGTAATTACCGTTGTTAATGATGTTGATATCAATGATTGTTGTTGTTCATTAACATTCGATATTCGTTTATCAATTTTTGATAATGATCGACTAATGTCATTTAAACAAGCATTTTGTGAATATTTTAACGAACGTCTACGTGAGTATTTGTCAGAAATGTATTGATCTCCTTCTTTTATCTGCTGACGTAATCGTTTATTGTCTGCTGTTAGATCTTCAATAGTTTTTGTCAATTGTAGTCGTTCGTGTGTAAATGTTAAACGTTCATTTTGAGATGCTGTTGTCAAATGTTCGATTAATAATTCGTTTTTTATCAACCGATTATTTAACGTATCAATTTCATGTTTCAGTTTCGCAATTGTATCAGTAGGATCGATCGGTGAAGATGTCTCCGGTATATTAATCGAATCAGTAGTATTATTATCTAAACAACAACAACAAAAACAAATATGTACACCCATTATTTATTTTATCATGAATCGCCACTTACTCATTGGAAGAAATTCGTTAAAAGGAGAATGATGTAAATTTATTTCATCTTCTCGACGTCGTTTACTTATTGTTTCTTGTGGAAAACTAGTTGAATTACTTTTTAGTTCAGACTCTTCTTGATGATTAACACCATTTTGATGACTATTATCGGTACTGATTGGCTGTTTATTCGATAGAGATTGTTGTTGTTGTTGTTGAGGATGCAGAGCTTTAACAACGTTCGATTTTAATGTTGAAAATGATTTACCAACTTTACTAACTAGACCCTTTTTAGCGGGAATTTTTGTCATTTTTCTTGTCACGGCCGGTGTTAATGATAGTGAGCGATTCAAATTTTCTCCTAAATAAACGCAAATAACACATTAAATAGTCATAAATGACTCGATTATTTTTACCTTGTTCAGTTCCATTTTGTATATGATTTCCATTCATTGCAGGATATCGTTGTTTTATGGGTTCTACTATCTCTGTGGTTTCATGTTCGATTTTTGTTAAAATTGCATCACAGCTTGCGGATAATTTTGTTTGTGATTTTTGTGTTAGTAATGTTTCATTTTCTGTTTGCATTTCTATTACACTATGTATTTCAATATCATCAGATGAATTTTCACCTCTAGTCGATTGTAAACTTGGTTCTTTACATGTTGAAAAGGATAAGTGTCGAGGAGACAAATCATCTGACCGTGAAAGCACAGTTGCACGACATTTTACAGTGTTATTTTTCTTACTGTCGAAATCACTACTATTATTGCTTAATGTTCCACTATCAGTCGATGATATTGTTGAAGTTCGAACAAATTGTAACGATTTTGAACGTTGCATGGATAAGAGTTGATCGTTTGCAGTTAACGACGAAGATTTGGATGGAAGGTCAATTGAGTTCGTTACAGTTGTCAGAGTATCAGTCATAACTGATCGTTGCTCATCATTTACAACGTCGCCAGCGATGAAACTAGAACACTAAAAGAACGAGAAGAGTTATCATTGTACTAAGTAGAAATTATTTTTAAGCTATACAATTGTCTTCCCTTGACCAAAAGTTAAAGGCCTACAATTATGAAATAGGTATGATTGTTCATTTGCCGTTAGTTCTCTACATATTATTGTCCAGACGGACAAAATAATTGCTTCAGGAAGTCAGTAACTCCGTATCATGTTATTAAGTGATTGTATATTTACAGTTGGTGGCAACTGTTTTAACACTTTTATTTAAAATATAAAAGGAGTTGGTTAACAATCATCGAACAAGCATTTTTGATAAAAGTGTTACATCTTTTATATATTATCATATTCAATACCTCGATTCTTTGAATAAATCACTTGAAAATTTTTGCGGTAGAAGTTTAATGGAAAACTTCGTTAGAGAAGTCAATTCTCCAAGTTCGGTGAAACATGATATTGGAATATACACAGCATCTAAAGTCAATGTTTTTGGCGGTGATGATAGAAGAGCGAGAATGCCATGTTTCAACGTATTTCC